GACTAAAACGAATGTAAATGTAGAGGAAAACTGCCTTGAAGCTTTGCTATATTGTAATAAGACTTTATATTACATATGCCCACATTACAATGATTGGTTCATAAAAATCAAGATGTAAGAATCAAGCACAACGAGAAAATTATGAATTAATTACCTATTGGATCAAAATTTTCATACGACTTAGTTGTTTGCCGTTTTTAAAATTGTGAAATTAGTATTAAGACTTCTAACTTACAAGAACTCAACGAGATAAAAACACTTATGATTTAAAATTATTATTATATTGTTTAAAACTGATTTTTACTTTATTGTGACCATTTTACCAATACACTTTAACTAATTAATTTTTATTATATGAATATATAATATAAAATAATTACTATAAAATAATAAATTTTTTTTTTTTCTTTTTGAAATATTATTGTTAGAAAAAATAAAATTAGTTTTCTAACATCTAATAGAAGAATTTTTTTCTTAACAATTAGAAGCGAATTTAGAAGATATGATAAGTAATGCTTTGGAAAATTAATTTTTCTATATAATACAAACCTTTTACTATCCATTAAAATTTCATTATCATCTGATTATATTTAATCTAAAATTCCGTATTTTGCACGATTTTGAACGTAATATTATTCTTTTGATTCTTATTTAGTTTCTTGCTCATCATTCATACTTGTTTTCTTTTTTCATCATTATTAAAGTTTTTCATTATATTCTCTTTTTTACAAGAGGTAAGTAATATAATATTAAGTTTTGATATTCATTCAGTAAAGTGGAATTAAAAACAAGTTTTTTTTTTTTTTTTTTTTTTGACAATGTTGCAATATGTAAAATGAAGACTCGAAGACTATTCCAACATATGTGCATACATAATTGCGCACTTATGTTTGAGTATTACATTCGTGTGTCAATTTATATTCAAGTTTAAAGAAATCTAAACAAATATTATTCTAATGATGTTTACTTTAATTTTCTTCATAAATAATATAGATTCTATTGTCATTCTTGTCAAAAGAAAATGATATATAATTTAGTAACTGTCGTATACTTGAATAATAGATAGTTCCAACATATTTTATAAAGAATCTTACTTTTCTGACAGCATTAGCTGTATATTCTTTGAAATTCTTCGATATATTTTGTAATAAATTATTATTTTTCTCCACAAGTATGTCTAAGCATATTTAAAATGAAGCACGATATTGACGAAAAAATATTAATAATTAGAAGGTAAAAGCAAAAAAAGGACAAACGGAAAGGTATGAAAATGAAATAGTGAAAGGTTTAATTCACAAATCATATTGTAAAGATCAAATATTCTCTTAAAATATTTAATAAGCGATTAAATCGTATGTGATAAGAAGAATAATCATGTAGTCTAACACTTACATATAAATAGAAAGCAATATAAACAAATAATAAGTGAAAAATTCATATAACTTTGGATTTCAAAGGATTAGAATACTGTCTTACAACGTGTCTGATTAATTTTTTTTAATTTCTCTGTTTTCATAGACATACACGTATCCCTACGTATGCTATTGTACTTACGCGTATGTGTAAATGTGTACGTGCATATTGATATTCATCAGAAAGTTTTTAGTTCATTTAATAACTAAAAGAAAAGAAATTTTTAAATTCATTCAAAACAAGTATTAAATGAATTTAAATATTACTATAAATTTGTATGAGTTAAATGAAAGAATAAGATTTGTTTTAAATATCGGGAATATCAGATATTAAATAAATTAAATAAAAATATTATATTTGTTTATAATTTACGATAACCAAGTAAGTCAATTTTTATTTTCATTTTCATTCTTCACTTGCAAATTGATTAGAAATTTTAACGTTGAAAATTTTCGAATAATATCATCAATTTATAATGTCTTCTTACTTAATAATAATTCCAAACAATTTTATGAAACAATGTTAATGATGCAATAAAATAGAACAATAAATAGTTTAATAATAATTTAATTCAAAATTTACATATATATTTCATTAATTATGCCTTTAATATACTTAAGCATTATCTACTTAAGCATATATTTAATTATAATCAACACTTTTAAATATTTTCAAATTATTAATTAAAATACTCTTCCTAATCGATTACCAATAATTATTAGGTAGAAAAATTACACGTGCAAAAGAATTTTCACATTTACATGACCATACATTAAGGATAAATATGTATATATTGGTTTTAAAAAACAATGAATTTATAAATTTGATCAAACTTTGATAAATAAATGCTGTTTTCTTATATAAATAAACTATAAATGTAAGACATTTAGTTTAATTAAATTTTGCTTTTAGTTGGAGCATAAAGTAAATTGTTTTGCTCAGTATTGTACCAATATAGAAAAGACTATTATTGGGAACAGGCTCGACTACAACGTATATCGTCTGCAATATTATTTTTCATTGAATACACGCCAACGCAAGCACACGCATACGCACAAGCGCGTGTAGAAATACGTAATTATGAAGGGCATTAGAATCTTACTTAATGAAATTTTAAGAATGTATTTAAGCTCGTTGATAGTGTTAATATCAGTTAAATTAACTGTAAATATTTTTCAATAAATATTTAAAATATACTATTATTTTAATATCATGTCAAAGAAAAAAATCATTTTCTGTAAACATACGTATTAAATAGAGATCGTACGAGGTACCGTAACAAACTATTTAGTTTTAAATATTTGAAGAGAGACACCATATGATCATATAAAAGCAGTATTTCATTATATATAAACAATAAGGTTGATAATCTAATATCTTTTCGTTAAATATTTGAAATTACCGCTATTAATTATTCATTATTTCATATGCATAATATCATTAGCCGTATGCGAATGAAATAGTTTTGGAAGCAATTTAATTAGAGCGACCGATAACAATACACTAATTGTTATAAAAGGAATTTTCAAATTTTTCATCAACAGAAATAATATAGGATTACTTACCAACATTTTAATTGCATTGGCTTAATAATTTATTACGCAGCCGAACATTTCCCAAAGTTTTCCACTAGAAAACACAGCGGATAAACGATTCTATAGCTGACGCCAAGCGAACAAGTAAATTTCGTCAAAAAAGGAAAAATCCAATTTCCCGTACGACTGAACGCCAGGACTGGAGTTTGGTAAGTAGTTGAAGAGCTTTGACATTGTCTCGACGCCATCTACGTCTATTCTTCCATCGTTCAAGAATCGGAGTCGACTCCAAAGATTTGCACCGATCACAAGTGGAGGGGGATATATGACTAAACAAAGAGGCAAAGGATGTGGTTGCATCGGAGTAAAGATCGAATGAGTGAATATGAGAAGGGATTGGTGGGTTCGATGTAAGTCGCGTAGAAATTGATTACATTAACAGGTAAGAGAAAAGGATATCGTGAGTACACAAGGAGAGCAAATATTAGAGGTTGATGGGCGGCCTGATGGTCGAATCAGTTGATAGAACATAGGTACCGTCGGGGTATATTATTTAAGTAGATGTTAAAAATTATAATGAAGCATGTTTGGAACTCGTTAGTGATATAATCATGCTTTATTTACGTTGTAGGAGTTATTAAGTTGGTGCTTATTATTCTGATGGTGGTTAAATAAATAATACCAAAATAAATATCAAAATCAACAAATTTAGGTGAAATAACAAAAGCCCATATGGAAAATTTTAATTCCTGAAGACAATGAAATATATTATATACGAGCTACCAAAATTTACGGAATTTGCATCAATCTAATAAATATAAATTATCTATATTTTATTGAAACTGAAAGTTATTCGAACTAATTTTCATAGTCTAAAGAATGATGATAAGCATTCTTCATAATTAAATAGCTAATATGGTGAATAATATTGGCAGAAAGAAATATCCTTTTAAATAATCATTAGCAACAATAATTAATTAAATTAATTAAAATAATTAGCAATAATCTAACAAAAATTTCATTATATTAAACTGTATAATAATATAACAGAACAATGTGTGTAGTTTATATGTATATATATATATATATATATATATATATATATTTTTTTTTTTTATAAACATTGGTATATATACATTGATAAATTTTTATATCTCTCAATTATGAAGAATTTTATTATAACTAAAAATTAAATGATTACACCTGCTTCAAAATTCTCTTCATTGCAAAGAAAAAATAATAAAGTTATACTGTCATAAATTATTGTAAAAATATAGTAGTTCAATATACCAGGGATACAAAGATATAAATGAAAAAGTTTAATATAAAAGGAACTAACAATTGAAATTATAAAATTAGACAAATATACATATATCTTTCAAGATACCTTCATATGTATCTATATACATATCTTTGTGTGTGTGTGTGTGTGTGTGTGTGTGTGTGTGTGTGTGTTATTAATAATAATTAATAGAAACAAAGCTTAAATGAGCTTATGGTATGTAACTATAATAACACGTCCTTATACATTATTAATTTATGAAATATAAAATCAGACTATTTATACTCAAAATCAAATAAAGGAATAAAATTTTATATTTGAATAAAACATATATATCTCTTTTTATTATTTCCATAATAATGTATATATGGAAATGTATACCTTTTAATTTTTAGATTTTTTTGTTTTTTGATAAGGTAGCACAAATTCAATATGTCACAGAGATTTATTTTTAATCTTACAATAAAGAGATTTCAAAGATTATTTGATGAAATTGAATTATATATTATAATAAAATAAAATGTATTTACCAAAAATATTTTTATATACATTTTTATATAAAATTCATAATTAGAAATTTCTTATAATCATAAAATATATATAACACAGTCACGAAATATCTAATTTATACATTAGGAAAAATACTTCAGTCATATTTATATTTGTCATATATCAGTTGTGCAAACTGAATTCTATAGATAAATATGATCATAATCGAAATTTTATTTTGTTTGAATTATATATAAATAAGTATAATTCACTACCGATAACTAAACCAGAAACAACGATGATTCCGAAGGTTATAATTTTCTACTGCTTCGTCGCATTTGTTTCAACAGGTATTTATAAATAATACTATTATATTATTGCATAGTTATTATATATTATTTTATCTTTTTAAATATATCATTTACTAATATTTATACTGATTAATAATATCTGTTGATGAATTTTGGAAAAGAATTTTTTCGCATATATCGCAGAAATAGAAATAGTAACTTTTCTCTTTCTTAAATTATTTGCAAAATGTTAATAAAATAATTAATAATGAAATTAAACATGTAAATATATAATATAATGGGCAACATTTATAATGCATTAAAATTAAATTTTTCATGTAAGTAGAGTAACAGGAAATTTCAAATTCCTTTTAATAAAATTCGTACTGTTTAAAAGTGAATGACTCAAGTCTTTCCAAAATCTATTAAAATTTATATATAATCAAATATTTTAAGAGGTTCGTCATTTCACTTTATGTGCATGTTTTCTTATTGTCAAGCACGTAAAAACATTATTCATTAACTCAATCTATACAATTTAATCAATTTATTTACTTTCTAAAATTTCTCATTATTAATATAATAATCTAATACTTGTATTAAAAAAAATTTTTAATTGCACGAAAATTAAGTTTTTAATAAGAATCAAAATGATGGATGACGGGTAAAAGTAACTAGACTGAAATTAAATGATAATTGTGATGATATTTATTACAATTTGTGTTAAAAATTTTCGTTACTATGTGTTATTGTAATTTTTAAAATTATTATGCCATTTTAAAGCTTCAGTTGTCTGAATATTGATTGTATATTGCCGAAATCAATTGTCTGATTGATAAAAAGATTTAGTCGATTATAATCTATTATTTTAATATAAGATAAGATCCCTTATTAAGATAAAATAAAAAGAATCTTTAAATATTATTGCAGACATGGTCTTGAAAACAGTCGATATTTATATAATTTGATGTATGATTAAATATTAATAGTAACTTTATTATGGTAATGAAAAATCAAAGGAAAAAGAGCTTCTAAATACAATGGTTTTAATATTTCATCCTAGTAAAAGCTCTGAAATTTGCTGAATATTCCGTCTGATTTATGAGACTCACAATAATTCGACTTCAAGAAAAACGTAAATGATAACGAAAATAGAAAAGTAAATGATTTATTCTTCTTTAAACCAAATAATTTTTAATGCTATCTTAACATTAATCATTTATAATATAATATATTAATGAACTAATGCATCAACAAATATAGTGATATATATATATACGCGCGCTTGTTTGTGTACGTGTATTCACACGTGGTTGTGTTCTGAACGGTAAGAAAGTTTTAATTAAATTGTAATATAATAAGTTTAGTCGTAGAAAATTGAAATAAAAAATATCATTGAAAAAACGCTTAAAAGTAAAAAAACAAGGTCGTTTCAATATTAATTCCTATACTACTCATGTGAAATATTGTTAAGGGAGATTTTCTTAAATATTTATATTTTCAACATTGAACATTAGAACAACGTATTGATTATATTAATATTTATTTATGGGTTTTCAGCTTCTGGGACGGTTCTTCGTATCGCTGGTGGTGAAAATGCAAAACCTGGCCAATATCCGTATTATGTGAGTTTGTACTACAAAGAAATATTCGGTGAGAATGTCGATTCCTTTTGCGGAGGGGCAATTTTAAACCATCAATGGATAATCACGGCTGCCTACTGTATTTATTCAGTAAATAATATCGACGATATATTTATCAAAGTCGGTAGTATTAATTACAGAAAATATTCAGTAACTGAACAAATATCAAAAATAACAACAAGTTTTGCTCACCCGGAATATAGTAGGTTAGTTATTTTTCACTCGCCTTATGTTATTCTACTAAATTTAAATAAAACAATATTTAATCGAATTCGATGTGTGGTTAAGAAAATCTGAAGGTTTTTAAGAAAAATTGAAAAAACGTGGTATTATTTGTACAAAATTACTAATATGTTAATTGTGAAGAAAATTTTTAATATTATATGTGGATTTGATTTTATAGATTAAGGCGTCGACATATTTTAAAAGTCTTAATACCTATCTGACAGTACACTCTATCACAAATAAGTCACATGGGGTTTAAATATTTTCGATGTATCAATTCGGTTATTGTTCATATATAATTTTTTTTTATCTCATTTTTTATGGATATGTACGTGAATTTATAGACACGTAAAAGACATTACCTAGTACATATTTATTTATACACCCGTGCGCACACTTTTATACAAATGCATGTACGCATACGTGCACGCACACAAACGTAAACTGTCGTACGCACGCACGCATGCACATACGCACGCACGCAGGCACGCGCACAAATTTCATGAAGTCAAATTATGACGTATGTGACAGTTCACTTAAAAATAATGTTTCATATCTATGCACATCTTTTATAAAATGAATGCCGTTCGAAAGAAGCTAAGGATTTATTAATCTCAGTAGTATTGAAATTTAAAAAAATTCAAGTTCTTAATAAAACTTAAATTACAATTTTGAAAAGGTAAAAAATTTGAGAAATTTATGGTTAAAATGAAATTGTTAAAGTTAAAATATTGGAATAGTTATATATATATATTAATATTAACTTTAATTGATTAGAATTAATATTTCATTTTGTTGTTTTACTTTCGTTACCGATTACTTTAGTAATTACAATTAATTGAATATTTTTGTTTCATTATAAAAATTAATGAAAAAAAAATGTAAAGCAACTATTTTCATAGATTACGTAAGTAAATTATTACTATGATTGATGAACTGTAGTTTAATAGGCGATTGCTGACTTAGCTTTTCATCTTGATTTAGATAATTATAATATTCTCATGCATGCTAATACATGATAATGTATTTAAATTGATCTACAGGCTTATATCAATAATTAGTAAATATCATTATGGAAGAAAAAATATGCGATCAAAGTGTTTTATAGGATGGAATAAACGACTAATGTGAGAAAAGATCTAATAAGCGTTGAAATATAAAACAAAAGCTTATTAAACATTTGATTACATAAGTTTATATTTTGTAATTATTTTTAATACAATTATTATAATAAAGTTAATATATAGTCCTGCTGGCCCCTATGATATTGGAGTTATGAAAGTGGAAATTCCATTCGTATTTAACGAATTTGTGGCACCAATCAACTTACCGAAGCCGGAAACTATCCCTACAGGATCAGGAACCGTAACTGGCCTTGGATTTCTCAAGTACATTATAGAACCCTACTTACCCGACTCGTTGCAAGCTGTTACATTACCAATTATTAATAATGATGAGTGTCAAACATTGATCGAGGAGTTATTAGGCGATAACGCAAATGAGTTGAATTTACTTGATAAATTGCGATTCTGTTCTGGACCTACGAAGAAGAATCAGGGCTATTGCTTGGTAATATCTTCCATAATATCCTCTTTATTACTTGGCGTATCTTTTATAATATCATACTTGAATTGAAATAGTAATATTAAAGTGAAATTAAAAACTTAGAAATATTAAATACCGTGTATATTTATATATCGTACGATGTACAATATTCTATAATGTAATTTTTTGTAAATACGAAATATCTTCATATATATATATATATATATATATATATATATACATAGTTTTATATTTAATTAATGTTTAATTTATACACTTTTCATTATCTTCTTTTTGTTTTATAATTTTGTATGTGTAGAATGATACCGGAGATCCTTTCACAACAAAAGAAAATGGTAAAGATGTGCTCATTGGTATAGCAACTTTTGGATTTGCAGCCGATTGCAAGACTCCAGGTGTACCATCTATTTATACTCGCGTATCTGCTTTTAACGATTGGATACAAGAAAGTATTTCAACGAATGCGAATGATAAATAATTATCTTAATACAATGAGCATTGATGCACTAATATACTTTATGACTAATTCAATCAATAAATTCGTTAAGATTATTCGATTTAAGTAAAAAATATTTCATATTTTATTTGATTTATTTGATATTATTATTTTATTTTATTTAAAGTTATAATGTATTTTCTATTGAATAATGGGCTAATATATAGATGTTTAATATTACATAAACTTAAGATTTTAATATTCTGATGAAATTATGTATTGAAACTTATTATGCGTAAGAAATTTTTCTCGCGATGCATATAATTGGACGTATACATAAATTAAAATGTTTTTGGACTTAATTACTAAGTAGTTACACCAATGTTTTTCTAATGCAATTTAATAATTATTTCATAAAATAAATACATTAAAAGCTGCAAATAAAAAATGTAGAAAAATTATCGATATTTTTTAAATTATTTCTCATAATATATTGTGTCCTTTCAACAACAGTATATCATCGCTAAAAAAATGTGCTTTTAATTATCACAATTTCTCATTTACGTACATTACGCACATTAGAATTACTTATGAAAATCCAAGTATAGTAAGACACTTGTTATGAACAGATCAATTAGCCAAATGAATTTAGACAAAATAAAGATTCTTTCAAATAATTACTTTTACATATTTAGTGCTAAAAAATTATGATGTATACTTTTATTCAACAAGTGATCTATTTTTAAATCGGAAAAAATCTGCAATTTTATAGTATTGATTTCGTGAGAGAGACTGTAAAATATTAATCTTGTAGGTGTATATTTATATTAAATATAATATGAAAAAGATTTAAAGCGAGGTGAACAATATAATTCTTCAAACAGTTTATAAGACTGATGTTATTAAAAAATACTATTATTCATTTATTTGAATGGATATAATTCAAAAATAATATTTATAGAGTAAATAAACAAAAATAAATAAAAAAGAGAACAATAATATAAATTTAGTATTGCAATTAATTATATATAGTCTTATTGTATAATTCTAGTTTATGCGACATTTTATATATAAGAAATTCTGACTTTGTTAATTAATTTGATAATAAATTATGGCGGAAAATAAACAAAATTTTTTAAATAAAATTATTTATGACTATTTTGAATTCCACATTTCACGAAGAAAAAAAACTTATATCACATTAAGGTAAAGTAACGTTGTAGGAACAATATGTTTAAAAAATGATATCAGACTACGTAGGATCATAAGAGAAGTGGATGCGCCAAAAATGTTCCAAGAAAGACAATGAAAGTATTTCTATACAATATATACTAAAAGGAAACGTTAAGAATTTAACTGATAGTGTAAGAAGACGAAATAGAGAATGGAGGAAAGAACGGAAAAGAAGATAAACGTACCTGGCCTTGGAAATCGTTCAGATTTTGAAAACAGGAATGTTAAATTTAAATACATTTCACATATCTAATAATTATATAATCAACTTTCAATATTATGTTTTCCGAATTCTATTTTATACTGTTGCTAATACTTCCGAGTATTTAAAATTCTTAAATAAATAAAATATAACTTTTCTAAGAGTAAGAATTACATTATTATTGTTAGTATATTTTAATTGTTATTGCTAGCATAATTGTTATTCATTATCGTCGATAGCGTAATTTAAATTTAAGATATAAAACTGAACGAGAATACTCCTATCCTTATATTCGTATATTTTTCAGTGAATAATTATGTGTATATATATAAAGGATAAAAGGCACTTTAAGCTCTTCATAATAATATAATAATCGGAATAATGAAAATGTCACCAATTTCATATGATTAAATTTAAAAATTATGATTTTTTTTTTTAAGAATTTACATTTATTTCCTGGGAATTAGACGTGATTGATTAAAATTTTAAAGCAACAATTGCCGAAAATCATAATTTCTAAATACCATATGAGAATATATTAGAAAATACTTTTTACATTGGATAAATTAAAGCTTGGAATTTTCTCGTAAGTATTGAAAACTCAGATATATTAAATAGAAATCCGTCGTTTCATAGATAATACAAAAGTTTGCTATTGTTACGTAGAAGAAGAAAGATTTGGAAAAGTTAGGGCGGCTTTATTCATACGCGAATAGAATCCATGCGTTTCCGTTTTCGTGACGGATGTTCTCGCTCCAACCGAACGTCGATGCTCTCTTTATTCAAGTTATCCTCATATCATAATCATAGTATGAAATGGTGCACCTGCGCTGCGTCAAGTGTGAAAAACTATAAAGACATTCTAATCTTTCATTTTTTTTTTTTTTTTTTTTTTAATGTATGTTTATTTGTAGTATTAACATGTGCATTTTCAGTGTATTACAATTACATAAATTAATATTTATATATAAAATACTCATTTTCCTGTCACGACGAGTCAGTAGAATTTCTGCCAGAAGATGGACCGATGTTTGACGTTGACAGAAGTCGTGATGTAAATAGATTTTGAATTCATTTTTTTTTCTCATTCCAATTTCGTGAAAATTAATGTTCATTAAAGTAGTTGGTTTGGAAATAACTGCTCGTTAAAGAAAAAGTTTTTCGTCTACGATATGCAATTGTAGAACTCCATCTGCTATAGGATATTTATTCATATAGGAAAGATTCTAGAAAAAGAGTTTGCTCTTATATTTCTGTGCAATTCTCGTTTTTCGAGTCTTGCATGTTTTATACATATACGCATATACCAAATATTGTAGAATTTATTTGTAATCCATGTCTTTGAAACTATCCCTATATTTTTTTTATATTTATTTTTTCCTTTGTCAAAAAGACGAAGATTACTCTCTACAATTTAACCTTTTCCCTTTTGTTTCAGTTTCTTTCACTATTATATTTAATCCGATGTAGCCGTGTTTTTCATTTATGGATCATTATATATTTTACATAATTTTAATATATTTAAAATATATATTTACTTTACTTATTTTCTTTAATTATATCATGAGATTTATATCATATTTGTGTGTTTTTCCCAACGCTTAAAGTAAATTTATATTACATTTTTCATTTAATTTAAATATCCTAAGAGTTGGATTGAGAATTATTTTAACAATTAAGAGACTCACTTCTGAATTTTATATACACTAAATAAACATATCTCTTGCTGTATGTATGATTATATCATATGACATTTCATTATATATTGCGTAATAAAATTTGTACAAAATAATTATATATTTGATTTGTTACTTATACGGAAACAAATATTATGAAAATATAATGTTAAAATATAAAAGCTACTGTATGCATAATGCATTTTGAATATTATAAAAAGAATTTTGAATAAACTAAAGAAAAAAAAAGTAAACGATATTTTATAAAATCGTTGATTTTGCATCCGTTGAACCGCAATAAAGTTAGTTAAGATAGAATTTCGATGAAACGAGAATTGGATGTTTAAATTTCCCTTGTGGGTTTTTTCTACGACTTTTGCAATTCTCAGCTATTAAAATTTTTCCTAGTTTTTGTAAAATGCTTCTTTTTCAAATATGTACTATGATTAAAGAAAGAAAAAAAACAATACATTGCAAAACAATACATTGCAACAACAATAAGTTGCAGTGCAAAAAACAATAAATTTCAATTTACGAGTTTATTTATGGGTAAAAAATATTTTATAAACTTTAAATGTTAATCAGTTCTTAATCAAGTAAGAGAGCTTTATCACAATTTGTCAATTCATTGAGTTTTAATTTATATTTATGTAGGCATTATAAATAAAATTTATCGATTTAGAATATATATATATATATATATATAGGGTTCATCTAGAAAATATTATTAAAAAAATTAGAAGAAAGTAAATTTGTATGTAAATCTTGTTTGGATTGTTCTCGTTATATATACGATTAATGTAAAAAAATTTGGTCTAAAAATTATAAACTAATACTATTATTAATATTGTCACGAGCTTAAGGAACGTTAATGTTTTTTATGATGAAATTTTAGAAATATTGTATTAACTGGAGAATATCGTCTAACCCACTTTTAAAAAGATTTTATCGATCGATTGTCCTCAATTAAATCAAATTACTGTATTTAAGGTAAAATTTTGAAAATTCAAGTCGGACATAGAATATTGAAATAAACAAGAAGCAATGATACTTGAAACGTACATAAAACGTTCTTACAGTCGTCTATCTTCTCCTAAGTCGTTTTATGCATCAGCAATCTAAATTGAAATTATGAGAGAATAGACTTTATAAATCGTAATTTAATTATTATTAAATTTACAGGTGGTAAGTAATTTCCTTCGTATTTTTTCGCAGTTACACATATTAGCAACCATAAAAGCAACGAAATGGTAACGAATATCGTAAACTCGAGCATATGCAACGTGAAGAATTGAATTATAGACGTAAAAAGAACTAGACTCCTAATCCGTATAATCGGTGTTACGTGGTCTACTTGTAGCAATTGTAGCCAGTAATAATGTTGATGCACGTGTCTGCATGACGGAAACAAACTTCCCCATTACCGTCGGCCGATTCTGGACAACAAAAACCGCAAGCACACATTGACGTACACGCAGTGACAAAACCGCGCTGCGCATCGAATGAAATATATCTTGCCAATGGAGCGTATAACAGCCTCATATTATTTATTTAATATTTATATGGAATCTTCTACGTGACTTGGTAATATTCTTCTCAAATCAGTTATTATAACATACGTCTGTGATTTGAACATTATTCATTGAAAAATATCATATTATGTTTTGTCAAAAAAAAAAAAAAAAATAAATAAATAAATACGTAATTCTTATGAATTAATTTTTATCAATAACTCTTATCGTAAATTATTACTTTTATTATTATAATATTTTTTACATTTAAAATAAATAGAAAAATATTGGACCTCATCTATTTTAGATATCCTTTATAAACGAAAACTGACCTTTTATGGATTAAAGTTATCGAAAAAGATGAATGGAAGGAAAAAAGAATCGCGAGTCCTCGTACAATCGATCCTTTATATTTCAGTAGTCTGGTCTTCCTTTCCGATTTATAATTCTAGTACAATAAATCGAGATGTTTGAACCGACATGAAATCGCAAGTGTGTGAGTGATG